TCTCTGGAATTAGGGTTTTTCTCTGGAATTAGGGCTTTTACTGGAATAAGGGTTTTTTACTGGAATTAGAGTTTTTCACTGGAATTAGGGTTTTATACTGGAATTAGGGTTTTTCACTGGAATTAGGGTTTTCACTGGAATTTGGAGTTTTTACTGGAATTAGGGTTTTTCTCTAGAATTAGGGCTTTTACTGGAATTAGGGTTTTACACTGGAATTTGGGGGGTTTACTGGAATTTTTGGTTTTTACTGGAATTAGGGCTTTTACTGGAATTAGGTTTTTTACTGGAATTAGCCTTTTCTCTGGAATTAAGGTTTTTCTCTGGAATTAGGGCTTTTACTGGATTTAGGGTTTTCACTGGAATTAGGGTTTTTCACTGGAGCCAGGAGCCCCCTGAATCCGGGATTTGGTGGGAAGATCCCTTTCTGTGCACTCAGGATTTGGTCTCCAGGGGGGAGTTCCCTGTCCCCAGGTCCCTCTCCCATGTCCCCCTGTGTGCCACCATCCCTGTGTCCCCTGTGTCCCCCCATCCCTGGTGCCCTGTGTCCCCTCCTGCTGCCACCCCTGTATCCCTGTGTCCCCTCTGTGTCCCCTCTGTGTCCCGGGTCTGTCGCCATCCCTGTGTCCCCTGTGTGCCACCATCCCTGTGTCCCCTGTGTGCCACCATCCCTGGTGCCCTGTGTCCCCCCCTGCTGCCACCCCTGTATCCCTGTGTCCCCTCTGTGTCCCGGGTCTGTCGCCATCCCTGTGTCCCCCTGTGCTGCCATCCCCGTGTTTCATGTCCCCTGTGTCCCCACCCCTGTGCCCCATGTCCCCTGGGTGCCACCACCGCTGGTGTCCCGCGTGCTGCCGTCCCTGGTGCCCTGTCCCCTGTGTGCCACCATCCCTTCCCGTGTGTCCCGGGTGCCACCCTCCCCCTCCGTGTCCCCGCTGTCCCCACGCCCCGGCGGCGGGAGGAGCCTTCGCGGGGCGGAGACACGGGGACAAGGGAGGGGACACGGGGACAAGGGAGGGGACACGGCCACGGGGGAGGGGACACCGGGAGGGACG